GAGATCACAGAGCTGGGGTGGAGCAAGACTGTGGAGGGCTTGAAGGTGATCACTGGTGGTTAAAATGCTAAACAAAATTTGACATTTATATGGTGCCTTTTAAATCAGAAAGACGTTAGACAGTCTGGGCTTGGCACCCAAGCTGAGGGTGGGAGTTGAGGGCAGGAAGTGGGATGGGGGTGGTGGGGAAGGTGACTGAAGGTGCATTAATTAATGGGACCGTAACTTCAAGGAATAATCTTTGTCTTTGATACAGCGCCTTATCACATAATTGATGCGTCTTAGAAAGCCTCAAAGTGAGGTGTTTGTGTATTTTGTGAGCGAACATAGGAGCCAAGTTGTCCATAGGAACGTTGCACATTATTACGGGGGATTGTTGGGTAAGACACCAGGAGAAACTTGTTTCTCGTTTCAAACGGATGTTGGGAGTGAGTAAATATTCCAGAGGAAGTGGTCAGAGGTTGAAGGAGAAAGGCCTGAGTTTCCAACAGTTGCACAGAGCAAGCCAAAGTCAAGCCTTTGCTTAACTGATGCATAAAATGCCTGCTGTGCACAATCATGAAAGGGGCGAAACAAATTTAATTTTGTTGTTGTTGGCGATATGAAATAATAATAATCCTTGAATTTGATTTAGCGCTTTTCACGTCTTCTCGACGTCGCAAAGCGCTTCACAGAATATACTGTAAAGTGAATTGACTGTATATTTGTGCCCGAAACTCGGCAGCCAAATGCTCACAGAAGTAATAATAATAATAATAATAATCTTTGTATTTGATATAGCGCTTTTCACGTCGGGAGGACATCCCAAAGCGCTTCACAGAACGCACTGTAAAGTTAATTGACTGCATATTTGTGTCCGAAACGCGGCAGCCAAATGCTCACAGAAGTATCCCACAAACAGTGTGGATTGAAGGCTGCTGTGTTTCGACAACAAAATATAGTCAATTCACTTTACAGTATATCATGTGAGGCGTTTTGAGAAATCTCAATGACATGATAAGGCACTATATCAAATGCAAGGAGTTTTATTATTATTACCACTAACTTTGCAAAGCTTTTAAAAGCCAAATTCACATATAGGTCGTTTGCCTACAAAACACAGTCTCTACACTTTACAGTAAATCCTGTAAGGCTGTTTGAGACAACATGAAAGGTGCTGTGTCAAATACAAATTATTAAATGAAATAAACTGAGCAAAGCTCAGGGCAACGCAATCCTTTACCATAACTATAATGAATAGTAAATTTACTCTCAGTGTCAGCCTGACTTAATTGGCAGCACTCTTGCCTCTGAGTCAGAACATTATGGGTTCAAGCTCCACGTCAGGATTGAAATTCATACAGTCTAGGTTGACAACAGTGCTGGGAGAGCCCTGCATTGTCAGATATGCCATACTTCAGATAGGAAGTAACACCAAGGCCCGGTCTGCCTGTTCAGGTGGACATTAAAGATCCCATGGCACTATTCAAAAAGAGAAGGGAATTTCTCCTGGTGCATTTGCCAACAATCTCCCACCTCTCTTCTGTATTTTTCTCTCACCATCTATCTCGCTCTCAATCACTCTCTCTCCCTCTCTGTCAATCATTCTTGCAATGACTCTCTATCCCTCAATCACTCACTCTCCCCTTCCCTCCCTCTCTCATTCAATCACTCTACTTCCCCACACACACACTCTCTCTCCCCCTTCTCTCTCTCTCTCACATACACACTCTTTCAATTACTGTCTCTCACTCCCACTCTCATCCACACACAATCTCGCACTCTCCCCTCTGTCTCAGTCACTCTTTCTGCTCTTTCTCCCTCTCATACACACTCTTTGCTTTTGCTTTCTTTTTGTCAATCACTCTATCTCCCACTATTTCTCTCATATCATCCGCCTGAGTCACTATCGGTATGAACAAGCAGTTAAATGCAGTGCAGAGCGTGTTTATACATGAATTGGTACATAGAAATGTGGAATTGCATCAGAACATAATAAAGGAAGCACACTTGTATTTGCTAACCCTCCCTGGCATATCATATTATAAACACAAGGCACCAATGCACCACGTCTAGACAGACAAAAGCCCCTGAGAACTCCAGAATGGTAAGTGGAATTTACTGCTCTTCAGTGTAAGTCAGAGCCATTTTTTAGTGATGGAATTTAACATCTGGGCTTTGCGAATGATCAGGGAATTGGATTTACAACAGGTGGGGTCCCATAGTATAGTGCTTAGTGTGCTCTCCTTCCAAGCAAGAGGAACTGGGTTTGATTCCAGGGAAAAGCATAATCATAGGCAAGTTTCCTTACAGCTCACGTCTATGCTTACCTAGCAGATTGGCTGATCATTTTCTATGGGTAACAAACCCTTCAAAAAATATATATATCAATATTTGGTCACTCAATCCACGACTGTTTATGGGATACTGCTGTCGCAATTAGCTGCCATGTTTCGCCCGCAAAATACTCAGTCAATCCCCTTTACACTATAATCTGTGAAGCCAGTTGAGATGTTTCAACCACATGACCAGACACTATATGTACTTCCGAACACTAACAATACATTAACAGTAATATCCTATTAACCACTTTCAGACATTTCAAGGATGTGTTGAAGTGCTACATTAAATGCAAGGATTGTTATTCTATTTTTTCTCTTCAAATGATGTCAGCCTGGCTCAGTGGTAGGACCTCTGAGTCAGAAGTTTGCTGGTTCAAGTCCCATATCGGCACTTTGAACTCATATAGTCTAAGCTGACACTCTAATGCAATGCTGGGAATGTGCTGCATTGTTGGAGGTGCTGTTCTTCGGATGGGATGTTAAACTGAGGTCTTATCTGCCTGTTCAGGTGGACGTTCAACATCCCATGATGCTGTTTGATTCTTATGTATCAAACTTATAAATCTTATATATATTATTATTCTTATATATTATTATTATTTGCTTTAGACCCATACTCAGCTGAGAACACAGCACCTAGTGGGTGACCAGTGGGGTTGTTGTGAAAGAGCTGACAGTGTTACCCAAGGAGCTGATAGCAATCAGCTTCTCATCCACCACAAGGCTTCCTTGTTCATCATGAGAAACCTGGTGTTTCTCAGAATGAACCTTGTGCTAGGTGCTGTTGAATTGGATCCCATGTCTCATTCTCAGGCTGTTCAGTGCCCTAATCAGACCCACCTGGAGAATTGCACACAGTTCTGATCACCTCAACATAAGGTGCTATGGCACGAGATTCTACGGCGCAATTCAAAAAGAGAAAGGAGTTTCTCTTTTGTCAACAATCTCCCAGAAACATTGGTCACTCACTACATGGCTGTTTGTGGGATATTGCAGCGTGCAAATTGGCTGCCACATTTGTCTACAAGATACACAGTCAATACACTTTATAGTTTACCTTGTCAAGTGCTTTGACACATCCTCGCGATGTGACAGGTACTGTATGAAATGTAAGTATTATTATTGTTGTTATTATTAGAGGCAGAGCAGCGGGGAGCAACAAGGCTGATCTCTGGTGTTAGAAGAATTAGCTATGGAAATTGATTAGACAAGCTCAGGCTCTTCAATCTTCAAAGACAACTCAGAGAGTATCTTATAGAATTGTAGAATTATACAGCACAAGAGGCCATTCAACCCATCGTGTCCATGCTGGCTCTTTGAAAGAGCTGTCCAAATTAATCTTACTCCTCCGCTCTCCTGTATCCCTGCAAATGTGTCCTCCCTAAATATCTATCAACTTCTATCTTGAGGTGCATATCATTTTAAAGGAGATTGAAAAAATAAACCCAACTCAATGCTTTCGGATATATCAATACAATAGAACAAAAGGACACAGGTTTAGAGTTGTATAGGATAATTACAGGACAGAGACCAGGAAGCTTTTCTTTATCCTGAGGGTAATTAATGACTGGAACAGGTGAGCAGGAAGGGAGACATAGGGCAGGACGATAGGGCTCACTTAAAATCATCAGATAATTGTTAAAGCCCAGCACAAAAAGTAAACAAAAACATGCCTTGTGAAAAGTATCACATCACCACCCCAAAAAATTAACTCTCCCCTTTATTTTATCCCTTGCACCGCCCTACCTTTCCAACTTGCTGAACCTCACTCAACTACCCGCCTGCCTCCGCTCATGTGGCTCCGGCCTCCTGTTCGTCCCTCGCCCCCTCTATGGCCGTGCTTTTTGACATTATGCCCCGAAACTCTGGAACTCTCTCCCAATCCCTCCGACTTGCCCCCTCCCTCCCAACTTTCAAATACCACGTAAAGACCTTCACATTAAGGAATTGGAATAGGAAGTCAGAACCACAGTATTTGAGGACCTTTTCTCCACAGTTCCTGTTGTGAACACACAACAAAGGATTCTGGTCACATTTACAGTAACAGACAGAGTAGTTCTAATTATAATAATATTTACGTTTGATAGAGCGCCTTGTCTGTAGGTTTTGCCGTTCTTTGGATAAGACATTGAACTGAGGTCCCATCTGCACGTTAAGGTGGATGTTAAATATCCCATGGCACTATTCAAAAAGAGGAGTTTCTCCCGGTGTCCTGGCTAACAATCCCACTGATAAAATTGGTCACTCATTCCATGGCTGTTTGTGAGACGTTGCTGTGTGCAATTGTGCTGCCACGTTTGCCTACAAATACACAGTCACTCCATTTCACAGTAAATTCCGTGAAGCTCTTTGGGATGTCCTTCTGATGTGATAAAGCGCTATATCAAATGCAAGGATTATTATTATTTGATATAGCGCCTTATCACGTCGTTGAGACTTCTCAAAGCGCTTCACAGGTACATTGACAGTATAGCACTGCACTGGAGAGTCAGCATAGAATATCAGCTCAGAATCCTCGATGTGGGGCTGGAACCCATGATCATCTGACTCAGAGGCGAGAAAGCCGCCAACTGAGCCAGGCTGACATGGATTAGATACAATGGCAAACACAGGGCTAGTTGTTACAACCCGTCCAACATTCAACCTGTGTTTGCTTCAAACCTACAGGATTCCTGCTTCATGTTAAACAAGAAGCTGGAGTCGAAGTACCTGCCGATCATGTATAGCATCGAGTTCATCGTGGGGCTGATCGGGAACCTCATCGTCATTTGTGGCTACGTGTTTTGCCTGAAGGAGTGGAAGTGCAGCAACATCTATCTCTTCAACCTGTCCATCACCGACCTGGCATTCCTCTGTACCCTTCCCCTCCTCGTCAACCAGTACAATCATGAGGGCCAATGGCAATTCAGTGACTTCACATGCCACCTGGATCGCTTCCTACTCTACAACAACATGTACCTCAGCATCCTCTTCCTCACCTGCATCAGTGTTGATCGCTACCTGCTGGTCAACAACCCACTGAAGACGTACCGGTTTCAGAGCAAACGGGGAGCCATGTTTGTGTGTTTCCTGCTGTATGTGTCTGTCACCTTGGCCCTCATCCCCATGTTAGTCATCATCGAACTCCAGAATGGGGGGAGCTGCACCGACTATGCCAGCTCGGGAAGTGCCCAATACAACTTCATTTACAGCATGTGCCTGACCATCTTCTGCTTCATCTTTCCTCAGTGCGTCATGATCTTCTCTGGCATCCAGACAGCCAGAGCCTTGAAGAAGATGAGCAAACAGCATCATAGGAACGTCTCCCTGGAGAAGCCCCTCACCCTGGTCATCCTGGCTGTGGGCTCCTTTACCATGTTCTTCACTCCTTACCACATCATGAGGAATATCCGCATTGTCTCTCGGATGGAGAGCCTAGGCTTCTCGAACTGCACCAAGTCCTATATAAAGGCTGGATACACGGTCACCCGGCCCATAGCTTACCTCAACGCTGCCACCAACCCCATCTTTTATTTCCTACTGGGAGATCAATTCAGGGAGACACTGATGAGCAGCATCAAGTCACTATTCCACCGAATGTTCCCATCTTACGGGAGACAGGTTCCAGCTTACTCACCGCAAGGTCCTGCCAAGACATGTACCACAATCGTGTGACAAACGGGGCGGGATGTGACAATTAACACCAGTGATTGTCAGCACGGTGCCATAACTGGCGTCAATCCAACCGGTAATAAACAAGATTAACAATAATCTTTGTACTTCATACAGTGGCTTTCATTGTCAGCAAGATGTCTCAAAGCGCTTCAAAGGATTTATTGTAAAATGTAGCGATTATGTATTTTGTAGGCAAATGCAGCAGCAAATTTGTACACAGCAATGTCCCACAAACAACCGTGGAGTGAGTGACCAATTTTATTTGGGCGCTTGTTGGCTAGGAAACCGGGAGAAATAAACTCCCTTCTCTTTTTGAATAGTGCCAGGGGATCTTTCCCGTCCACCTGAACAGGCAGATGGTGCCTTGGTTTAACATCTCATCCGGAGTCGGCCCCTCTGACAATGCATCACACACCCAGCACTGCATTGAAGTGTCTGTGTGGACTATGAGATCTAGTCCCAACCCAGGGCTTGAACACACAATGTTCTGACTCCGAGTTGGGAGTGCTACCAACTCAGCCAGGTCGACACCTAAAATTTTCATGCTTTCCAATAGCTTGTAAACGGGACAGGTTTAAATTGGCACCATGCAGTATAATAACGTGCATTTAAGAGGATGTCTTAATGGAGAAGGGAATAAGCAGGTATGGGAGGGAATAAGGAGTGAGTGAAAACTCAAAGTGTAAGAACAACTTACATTTATCCAGTATCCTTCATGCAGGGTAGCGTCTTGGAATGCTAAACAGTGGTGCAGTTTGATGCTGAGCCAAGGGGTGGGGGGAGAAGACCACAGGCATAGTCGAAGAAGCTGCAGATCATTCAGAACTTTGCAGCTTGATTCCTCTCCCGCTCCAAGCTCCGTGAACCTTTCCTTGCCCACCTCCACTGGTTTCCCATCAAGCAGAGGATACAGTTTAAGGTCTTGGTCCTCACCTTCAAAGCCCTCCATAGTCTTGCTCCTCCCTACCTCTGTGACCTCCTAAACCCCCACAAATATACAGTTAATTCACTTTACAGTCTATTCTGTGAAGCGCTTTGAGACGTCGAGAAGAGGTGAAAAGCGTTATATCCAAATGTAAGGATTATTATTACTACCATCCTGTTCGCGCCCTCCGCTCAGCAGGCTCCGGCCTACTTCACATCCCCTGCCTCTCTCGCCCCACCATTGTCGGGCAGGCTTTCCGGCACTCTGCTCCACCCTCTGGAACTCCATCCTCAGTTCCTCCGCCTTGCCCCCTCCCTCGCCACCTTCAAGACGCATCTTAAGACCCTCCTCTTCGACCGTGCTTTCGATTTCCCTGCTTCCACCCCCCTGCCCTTCATCCTCCCCCACCCCGACCCCCAACTCAGGTCCGTTACTCAGTCTGTCCAGCACCTTGAGACATCCTCCCGATGTGAAAGGCCCCTTACAAATGTCATTTTGTTGTTGTTATTGTTGTTGTTGTACAAGTCTTGATACTGTAGCTTGTACTGATTTTGCTTTAAATTCTCTGTTCGATGCACAAATAAAAAGTTAAATAAAACACAGGAGTCCTCCAGTCTTCACTCATAGTCCAATCCATTCATCCTCGGTTTCATCCTAGTAAATTTCCCCGGCACCTCCTCTGTCCTCTCTTTAAAGATGACCAAATAGGACCTAATAAGAAAGTCACACACCCAGACACACACCGACACGAGAACACTGACAGGAACATACTCTTTCTCCTCAATTACGGCAACACATTTCACCTACATCACATTGATTTCAGATAGTTGGTAAACTAAGTAAATAGGACTGAATGGATGAAAAACAATTGGCCTTCTTTTGTGCTGTAAATTTCTATGAGTCTACTCTTATTCAGTGTGTCCAAAATTTGGCAAATTCTTCAGCTCAGCTTTAACTTCCGAGCTGTTTTTCTAAAACTACAGAAAAGTGAATTCAAGGCGGAATTCAACAATTCATCAATTTCTGGAAGCTCTGATAACACCACATCAATGGAGTCAATCTGGACCCAGGTGGGATTTTGTTCCTTTATTAAAAGGAGCCAATACCGGTGAATTCCACCGGTTGGCGCCCTGTAGCTGTGGTGAAGCAGTACAACTTCTCCATAAACTTCATAATAATAATCCTTGCCTTTGATATATCGCCTTATCATTCCATTGAGATGCCACAAAGCGTTTCACAAGATTTACTGTAAAGTATAGTGACTGCGTGTTTTGCAGAACAGACAACCTATTTGTATACAGCAATGTCCCTGAAACAGCCATGGCGTGAATGACCAATTCTCTCTGGGGGATTGTTGACCAGAACAACAGGAGAAACTGCCTTCTCTTTACCAATAGAGCTGTGTGATCTATAATGTCTATCACTGGGATCTTAATTCGGAGGAGGAGGAGGTGGTGGTATATGATGTGATAGACATCACAGATAAGATAACTATCACATCACCCAGTCTTAGCCTGAGAGACCATTTCCATTGTGAAACTGGTAACAATGTACAGAATTGTGGACAATTCTTCAAACTGACGCTAGGAACCGTCTTCACATTTAATGACAGAAACATCTTCTTGGGCTAAGACTGGGTGGAACTTTGGGGCATATAGGATCCATATTTCTTTTTATATCGAACAGAATTCAGTGGATGTTGAAAACCATTAACCCTTCACACACTGTGGGGGAGTCCTCTAGAACCACACAATAAAACATTGCATTTATATAGCACCTTTCATATCAGAAGGATGTCCCAAGGCATTGGACCAGGCAATAGGAACCACCATCACACCCCTTGCAATCTACCCCTCTAGGGAGTAGAAGGGTGGAGGGCAAGAAAGGTAGTGGTGGGAAGATGACCAAAGGAACAGTTGAAGAGGAAGGACTTGAGATGGGCCTTGAAGGAGGCAAGGGAGGGAATGAGGTGGAGGGGCTCCAGGATGGAGTTCCAGTGGGGCAGAAAGTCTAAAGGCAAAACCGCCGATAGTGTTGTGGGTAGGGCAGGAGACGTGGAACATGCCAGTAGCCGCCGAGCGAAGGGAGAGGACAGGTTGGTAGGGGTTTAGGAGATCACAGAGGTGGGGTGGAGCAAGACTGGAGGGCTTGAAGGTGATCACTGGTGGTTAACATGTTAAACAAAAAATGTACATTTATATGGTGCCTTTCAAATCAGAAAGATGTTAGACAGTCTGGGCTTGGCACCCAAGCTGAGGGTGGGTGTTGAGGACAGAAAGTGGGATGGGGTGTGGGGAAGATGACTGAAGGTGTGTTAATTAATGGGGATTTAACTTCAAGGAATAATCTTTGTATTTGATACAGCGCCTTATCACATAATCGATGCGTCTTAGAAAGCCTCAAAGTGAGGTGTTTGTGTATTTTGTGAGCAAACATAGGAGCCAAGTTGTCCATAGGAACGTTGCACATTGCTACGGGGGATTGTTGGCTAAGACACCAGGAGAAACTTCTTTCTCGTTTCAAACGGATGTTGGGAGTGAGTAAATATTCCAGAGGAAGTGGTCAGAGGTTGAAGGAGAAAGGCCTGAGTTTCCAACAGTTGCACAGAGCAAGCCAAAGTCAAGCCTTTGGTTAACTGATGCATAAAATGCCTGCTGTGCACAATCATGAAAGGGGCGAAACAAGTCTAATTTTGTTGTTGTTGGCGATATGAAATAATAATAATCCTTGAATTTGATATAGCACTTTTCACGTCTTCTCGACGTCGCAAAGCGCTTCACAGAATATACTGTAAACTGAATTGACTGTATATTTGTGACCGAAACGTGGCAGCCAAATGCTCACAGCAGTGTCCCACAAACAGTCGGGGATTGAAGGCTGCCGCGATTTGACAACAAAATATACTGTCAATTCACTTTACAGTATATCATGTGAAGCGTTTTGAGAAATCTCAATGACATGATAAGGCACTATATCAAATACAAGGATTATTATTATTATCACCACCACGTCGGGACTTGAAACTCATATAGTCTAGGTTGACAACAGTGCTGGGAGAGCCCTGCATTGTCAGAGATGCCGTACTTCAGATAAGAAGTAACACCAATGTCCAGTCTGCCTGAGGTTCAGGTGGACGTTAAAGATCCCATAGCACTATTCAAAAAGAGAAGGGAATTTCTCCTGGTGTGTTAGCCAACAATCTCCCACCTCTCTCTCTGTATCTTTCTCTCCCCATCTCTCTCACTCTCAATCACTCTCTCTCTCCCTCTCTGTCAATCATTCTTGCAATCTCTCTCTCTCCCTCAATCACTCTAGCCCCCTCCCCCCACACACACTCTCTCTCCCCATTCTCTCAATCACTCTTTCCCCATCCTCTCTCTCTCGCACCCCTCTCTCTCAATTATTCTCTCTCACTCCCACTCTCATCCAAACACATTCTCGCACTCTCCCCTGACTCAGTCATTCTCCCTGCTCTTTCTCTCTCTCATACACACTCTTTCTCCCTTTCCCTTTGTCAATCATTCTATCTCCCACTCTTTCTCTCAATCATCCGCCTGAGTCACTATCAGTATGAACGTTTGGCTAAATGCAGTGCAGAGCGTGTTTATACTTGAAGATAAGTTGGCACATAGAACAACAACAACAATAACAACATTACATTTGCATAGCGCCTTTCACATCGGGAGGGCGTCCAAGGCGCTGGACAGACAGTGTTACGGACCCAAGCTGAGGGTCGGGGTGGGGGAGGACGGGGGTGAAGCAGGGAGATCGAAAGCACGGTCGAAGAGGAGGTTTTCAGGTGGATCTTGAAGGTGGCGAGGGAGGGGGCAAGGCGGAGGAACTGCAGATGGAGATGGAGGGACTGCGGGATGGAGTTCCAGAGGGTGGGTGCAGAGTGGCGGAAGGCTCACCCCCCGATAGTGGGGTGAGCAAGGCGGGGGACATGAAGCAAGCCAGAGACTGCTGAGCGGAGGGAGCAATCAGGGTGGTAGGGTGTTAGAGGTCAGAGAGGTAAGGGGGAGCAAGACCGTGGAGGGCTTTGATAGTGAGGACCAGGATCTTGAACTGTAACCTTTGTGTAATGGGAAGCCAGTGGAGGTGGGCAAGCATGGGGGGTGATAGGGTCACAGAGCCTAGTGCGGGAGAGGACACGGGCTGCAGAGTTCTGGATGAGTTGCAGCCTATGGAGGGAGGAGATGGGGAGACCGACAAGTAAGGTGTTTTCATAGTTGAGCTTCGATGTAATGAAGGCGTGGATGAGGGTTTCGGCGGCCTGCGGTGTGAGACAGTGTCGGAGACAGATGATTTTGCGTAGGTGGGGGAAGGCAGAGTGGATTCATGACACAGATGTGGGGTAGAAAGGATAGTTGGGGGTCAAACAAGACCGCAAGGTTCTGGACTGGCTTAGTAAGGTGAAGTGTGCAACCATGGATGGTGATGCTGTCAGCGCCTGAGGTGAGGAGGTTGTTGACGTTCAACGGAAGAAAGTTAGCTCTCATCCAGGACTTGAAGTCTTCCATCAGCACAGCAGTGATACTGGAATCAAGGGTGAAGGCAGAGAGGTAGAGTTGGGTGTCATTCGCAGACATGTGGAAGTTGACCCCATGTCTCTGGATGATGTCACCAAGAGGGAGCATATAGATGTCAAAGAGGTGGGGACCAAGGACAGAGCCCTATGGAACGCCACACGAGACGATCCGGGGGCTAGAGGAGAAGCCATTTGAGGAGATGAAGTGTAGGCAGTGTGAGAGGTACGATCTGAACCAATCAAGGACTGCACCATGGAGATTGAGGTGAGAAGAGAGGCAATGGATAGAGTGGTCGACAGTGTCAAAAGCAGCAGCAAGGTCAAGGAGTACAAGGAGGCAAAGGGAGCCCTGGTCGCGGATGGACAGAATGTCATTTCTCACTTTGACCAGGGGTGGTCAGACCACTTCTGTGCTGTGGGCGGCACGGAAGCCCAATTGGATGGGTTCAAGAAGGGAGTGGTGGGAACGAAGCTGAGAAGCAACAACTCGTTCAAGAACTTTGGAGAGGAAGGTTGGAGATGGGGCGGTAGTTAGGGAGTAGAGAAAGATCCAGGGAGGGTTTTTTAAGGATAGGAATAATAACAGATGTTTTAAAGGGGTGAGAACAGTACCAAAGGACAAGGAGAGGTTAACGATGTGGAAACGTGAAATTTCATCAGCACATAATAAAGGAAGCATGTTTGTATTTCCTAACCCTCGCTGGCATATCATATTCTAACCACATGGCACCAATGCACCACTTCTAAGCAGACAAAAGCCCCTGAGAACTCCAGAATGGTAAGTGGAACTTAATGCTGTTCAGTGAATGTCAGACTCATTTGTTAGTGATGGAATTTAATTGTACAGCGCCTTGGGACATCCTCCCGACGTGAAAGGCGCTCAATAAATGGAATCTTGTTGTTGTTGTTGTTAATATCTGGGCTTTGCGAATGATCAGGGAATTGGATTTACAGCAGGTGGAGTCCCATAGCATAGTGCTTAGTGTGCTCTCCTTCCAAGCAAGAGGACCTGGGTTTAATTCCAGGGCAGGGCATAATCATAGGCAAGTTTCCTTACAGCTCATGTCTATGCTTACCTAGCGGATTGGCTGATCGCTTTCTAGGGGTAACAATCCCTTCAAAAAATGCATATATAAATATTTGGTTACTCAATCCACAACTGTTTGTGGGATGCTGCCGTCCCAATAGAGAAAGAGCTGTCTAAATTAATTCTACTCCTCCGCGCTCTCCCATAGTCCTGCAAATGTGGCCTCCCTAAATATCTATCTACTTCTATCTTGAGATGCATATCATTTTAAAGGAGATTAAAAAAGTAAACCCAGATCGATGCTTTAGACAATAGAATGAAAGGACACAGGTTTAGAATTGTAAAGGGTAATTTCAGGACCAATACCAGGAATTGCCTGAGGGCAATTAACGACTGGAACCGATGACCAGGAAGGGTGGCTTAGGGCAGGACACTGAGGCTCATTTTAAAGCATAGATGATTGTTAAAGCCCAGCACTATAGCAAAAAAAAAACATGCTTTGTGATAAGTATCACCATCCCACCCCAAAAAATTAATTCTCCCCTTTATTTTATCCCTTGCACTGCCCTACCTTTCCTACTTGCTCACCGCCCACTCGAACTACCCGCTACCTTTGCTCGGCTGGCTCTGGCCCCCTGTTCGTCCCTCACCCCTCTGGCTCCACCATCGGCGGCCGTGCTTTTAGTCATTATGCCCTGAAGTTCTGGAACTCTCGCTCCCAATCCCTCGCCCTGCCCCCTCGCGCCCCCCCCACCCCAACCCCCACTTTCAAATCCCACCTAAAGACCTTCCTTTTTGATCAGGCTTATGGTCACCTCCCACCTCGTTCTCCCCCTGGCTCAGGGTCAGACTCCACCACTGGTAAGCGCCCCGGGATGCTACCCGGTGGGAAGGGAGCTACATAAATGCAAGTTGTAGTTGTTATCTGGCTCAGGGTTTGGCCACTTTCTGTTTAAGGAACTGAAATAGGAAGTCAGAACCACAGTATTTGAGCAACTTTTTTGCACGGTTCCTGTTGCGAACACACAACAAACGATTCCGGTCACATTTACAGTAACAGACAGAGTAGTTCTAATTATAATAATATTTACGTTTGATAGAGCGCCTTGTCTGTAGGTTTTGCCATCCTTTGGATAAGACATTGAACTGAGGTCCCATCTGCCCGTTAATGTGGACGTTAAGTATCCCATGGCACTATTCAAAAAGAGGAGTTTCTCCCGGTGTCCTGGCTAACAATCCCACAGATAAAATTGGTCACTCATTCCATGGCTTTTTGTGAGACGTTGCTGTGCGCAATTGCGCTGCCACATTTGCCTACAAATACACAGTCACTCCATTTCACAGTAAATTCTGCGAAGCGCTTTCGGATGTCGTTCCGATGTGTTAAAGCACTATGCAAGGATTATTATTCTTATTATATATGATATGGTACCTTATCACGTCGTTGAGACTTCTTAAGGTGCTTAATAATAATAATCCTTGTTTTTGATATAGCGCTTTTCAAGTCTTCTAGATGTCTCAAAGCGTTTCACAGAATATACTGTAAAGTGAATTGACTGTATGTTTGTGGGCGAAATGTGGCAGCCAATTGCGCACATCAGTGTCCCGCAAACAGTCATGGATTGAAATGTTTTTTTTTTGAGGGATTATTATCAGGCGTGTGGAGTAAGAAAACTTTCCCAAGGTTTCGCCCTGCCGGCAATCGAACCCAGGTCTCTCGCTTGCCAAGCGAGTGCCTCTAACCATTGAACTATAGGACTCTTCACAGGTACAGTGACAATGTAGCACTGCACTGGACTGCACTAGAGAGTCAGCATGGACTATCAGCTCAGAATCCTCAATGTGGGGCTGGAACCCATGATCATCTGACTCAGAGGCAAAAAAGCCGCCAACTGAGCCAGACTGACACAGATTAGATACAATGGCAAACACAAGCGTTGTTACAACCCATCCAACATTCAGCCAGTGTTTGTTTCAAACCTACAGAATTCCTGTCCCAAGATAAACGAAGACCTGGAGTGGGAGTACCTGCCGATCATGTACAGCATTGAGTTCTTCGTGGGGCTGATCGGAAACCTGACCGTCATCTTTGGCTACGTGTTTTGCCTGAAGGAGTGGAAGTGCAGCAACATCTATCTCTTCAACCTGTCCATCACCGACCTGGCATTCCTCTGCACCCTTCCCCTCCTCGTCAACCAGTACAAAAACAAGAGCCAATGGCAATTCAGCGACTTGCTGTGCAAGTTTAACCGCTTTCTTCTCTACAACAACATGTACCTCAGCATCCTCTTCCTCACCTGCATCAGTGTCGATCGCTACCTACTGGTCATGAACCCACTGAAGATGTACAAGTTTCAGAACAAACGGGGAGCCATGCTTGTGTGTTTCCTGCTGTACATGTCTGTCACCTTGGCTCTCATCCCCATGTTTGTCTTCATTGGTCCCCAGGACATCACCCACGATGAGGAGAACATCACCGCCTGCGTGGACTTCGCCAGCTCGGGAAATGCCAACCACAGCCTCATCTACAGCATGTGCCTGACCATATTCTGCTTCATCTTTCCTCAGTGCGTCATGATCTTCTCTGGCATTCAGACAGCCAGAGCCTTGAAGAAGATGAGCAAACAGCATCGTAGGAACATCTCCCTGGAGAAGCCCCTCAACCTGGTCATCCTGGCTGTGGGCTCCTTTACCGTGTTCTTCACTCCTTACCACATCATGAGGAATCTCCGCATCATCTCTCGGATGAAGAGCCTGGGCTTCTTGAGCTGCACCAAGTCCTATATAAAGGCTGGATACACGGTCACCCGGCCCATAGCTTACCTCAACGCTGCCACCAACCCCATCTTCTATTTCCTACTGGGAGATAAGTTCAGGGAGACACTGATGAGCAGCATCAAGTCAATATTCCACCGAATGTTCCCATGTTTCGGGAGACGGGACACCCAGGCAAGCTGCAGCTCCTATGGTCTGGGGGGGAGGCGGGAGGAGGAAAGGGGGAAGACTAGATTATTTTCTGACTCAAGTTGCAAGAATCCGTCTCAGAGTTGTTCCCAGTTGCCCACTCGCTCGCTAGCTGTTGGCTCCAGTTAGGAGCTGAACCACTCAACTCTGGTGGCAAACACAACAGGATGTGACAATTAACACTGGTAATCTTCAGCATGGCTTCAAACCTGGTGTCAATTCAGCCAGTAATAAACAAGATTAACTATAATCCTTGCATTTGACCCAGTGGCTTTCATTGTCAGTAAACTGGCTCAAAGCTTCACAGGATTTATTGTAAAGTGCAGTGTATTTTGTAAGCAAATGCAGCAGCCAATTTGTGAACAGCAAGTCCCACGAACAGCTATGGAGTGAGTGACCAATGTTATTTGGGGGATTGTTGGGCAGCTGAGAATACGAGCGGTGGAGTTTTTAATTAATTGGTTGAATGGTGGAGCTGGGGAGACCAGAAATCAATACGGATTGTTGACCAGAACCTTGGGAAAGAGAATGGTGGGGCTTTGGTTTAAAATCTCATCCAAAGGTTTACATCTCCCACACCATGCTTCATAATCTATCACCCACCCTCTCCTAACTCCCCATCCCCCTGAGTATCAAGTTTAAAATCCTTGCCTTGCTCCACCCTGCCTTCCTGCAAATTCCACGCTGACCTGTCCGTTCCCTCCGCTCAGCAGACTCTGGACTGCTCCATGTCCCCACACCCTGCCCGCCCCACCATTGGTGGTCAGGCCATCAGCCTTTCTGTCCCCACCATTTGGAACTCCATCCCACAGTCCAATCGCCTCACCCCCTACCTTGACTCCTTGAAGGCCCATCTCAAGACTCTCCGCTTCGACCTTGCCTTCGGCCTCTCTTTTATCCCCACCCTCCCTGCCCTCCATCCCTCATGATCCCAACACCCAGCTCAGGTACAAATCCTCGATTGTCCAGCGCCTCGTAATTTATCTTTGATATTGTTGTCTTCATACTGTAGCTTATGCTGGTATTTGCTCTGTTAGAAGCTCAAAAAAAATTCAATAAAATGGAGCAGTATGTCAACAGCTTTGTTTCTCACAGTACCGGAGGGGGGGGAGTGGGGGGATACCATAAAAATTGACAGAAGAAGGCCATTCAACCCATACTGTCTGTGCTGCTCCCTCAAGAGCAATCCTTTCAGTTTCATTTACCTGCCCTTTCCTCTCCACACCCCCGTAACTGGCTCTGTTTAACGTATGTATCTAGTTCTCTCTTGAAAGTTGAAAATAGATTGAAAACATTTCTCCTAACCTCCGCTATTTGCTCGTTTACTGGGACAAAATGGCAATGGGCAGAAGGAGGATGGTATCATGAGGACGTCCCCAAAAGAGGATTGCAAAGACAGGGGGGGGGGGGAAAGCGTCCAGACAAGTGGGAACCACAGAGTGTGACTGGAGTGGCACAGGGAGCCTGGAGCCTGGAGCTTTTGAGCTCACAGCCTCCCGCGGGGGACATCTGGAGTGGGGATCGAGGACAACACTGGCGTAGAGTCTGAAGTGCCAACACCCAACCTCACTCCCAAACCCAATCCCTCGCCCCTCCCAGCCCCCCTGCCCCCCAAATACCCTCCCCCCCCAAAACTTCCTCCCCCCCAACCTCCCCTGCCCTCCAAAACCCCTCCTCCCCAACTTCCCTTGCCCCCAAACCACCCCTCCCCCAAACCCCTCTCCAATCGGGTTTCCCTGCCCTGCACAGAAACAGCTTTGGTCAAAGTGACAAATGACATTTTGTCCATTTGCGATCAGGGCTCCCTCTGCCTCTTCGTCCTCATTGACCTTTTTGCTGCCTTCGATACCGTTGACCACTGCATCTGCCTCCACTGCCTCTCCTCTCACCTCAGCCTTCATGGTTCTGCCTTGAATGGTTCAAATTCTACCTCCCACACTGTCTCCACTTCATCTCTACAAACAGTTTCTCCTCTAGCCCCCACACCGTTTCATGCGGCATTCCTCAGTGCAAGGTCCTTGATCCTCTCCTCTTCAATATCTATATGCTCCCTCTTAGTGATATCATCCATAGACATGGAGTCAATTTCTACATGTATGCAGATGACACACAACTCTATCTCTCTGTCTCCACCCCCAACTCCAGGACCACTGCTGTCCTGACAGAATGTCTGTCAGACATCAAGTCCTGGATGAGAGCTGACTTTCTTCAGTTGAACGTCAGCAAGACCGAGACTCTCCTGATTGGCTCCCGTCAGCGCCTCCTCACCTCAGGCGCTGACAGCATCACCATCCAAGGACGTACACTCCACCTCACTAAGCCAGTCCGGAACCTTGGCGTTTTGTTTGACCCTCAAATATCCTTTCTACCCCACATCCTTGTCATGACCCGTTCTGCCTTCCCCCACCTCCACAACGTTGCCCGGCTCCAACACTGTCACACGCCGCGTGCCGCTGAGACTCTCACACATGCATTCATAACATCCAGCCTCGACTATGCAAACTGATTGCTTGTCGGCCTCCCGAACTCCTCTCTCCATAGGCTGCATATCATCCAGAACTCTGCAGCCCGTGTCCTCTTCTGCACTAGGCTCCGTGACCCTATCACCCCTATCCTTGCCTGACTCCACTGGCTTCCCGTCACACAGAGGATACAGTTCAAGATCCTGGTCCTCACTTTCAAGTTTTGCTCCCCCCTAACTCTGCGACCTTCTAAACCCCTACCAACCTGCCGGCTCCCTCCGCTCAGTGGGCTCCAGCCTGCTTCACGTCCCCAGCCTCGCCCACCCCACAGGCTTTCTGCCACTCTGCCCCCATCTTCTGGAACTCAATCCAGTAGTCCCTCCCTTGCCTCCTTCAAGACCCATCTCAAGACCCTCCTCTTCGACTGTGCCTTCGGTCACTCTCCTACCCCCACCTATCGTCCACTCTCTCCAATCCCAACTCCCAGCTCAGGTCCGAAACACTGAGTGTTCAGCACTTTGGGATGTCTTCCCGACGTGAAAGGCGCCTCACAAATGTCAATTTGTTGTTGTTGTTTACTAACTATCTTAAATTGATGCCCTTGACCAGTGGAAATAATTCCTCCCGATTGACTCTATCCAAAGTCCTCGTAATGTTAAAACCCTGGATCAGGTCACCCCTCAACCTGCTTTGTTCCAGTGGAAAAAGTCCCAGTTTCTCTAGTCTCCGCTCATTGCCCAAACCACTCATCCCCGGTGTTATCCTGGTAAATCTCTGCACCTCCTCTGTTGTCTCTTTCCTAAAGTGGGATGACCAAACCAGGACCTAATAAAAAAGTCACACACAGAACACACACACACAATCACGAACCGACACGAGAACATCGACAGTAATGTACATCAATTTCAGATAGTTGGTAAACTAAGTAAATAGGATTGAATGGCTGAAACCAAATAAGTCTTCTTCTGTGCTGAAAAATTCTATGGTTTTATGGTTTACTCTTATTCAGTGTGTCCAGAATTTGGCAAACTCTTCAGAACAGCCTTAATTTCAGAGCCGTTCTTCTGAAACTACAGAAAAGTGATTTCAAAATCAAGGCTGAATTCAGCAATTTACCAAATCAATGGAGTAAATCGAGACCCGGGTGGGATTTTGTTCATTTATTAAAAGGACCCAATGCCAGTGAATTCCACTGGAGGGCATCCTGTAGCTGTGTTAACAAAGTAAAACGTTTACTTAAACTTCTAAGTGAGGGGCTGTTGTTCTGATGAACAATATGATTTGGAGACTTTTCAGTCTGACCGTGAGGGCTCAGTGTTAGCAAAGCTCCTCCGTGTTATTTTGCTGCTAATGTCAGTGAGCATCATCAGTTCCTCTACTGCACAGCTTTGTCCTGTAATTTCCTTGCAAGCCCCTCATACAAGCCAATCCACTAATGGCAAAAATAAACAGACATTAAAGCCACTGTGGGTTAAGCAGGGAGGACAGTGCTTACACTAAGAGCTTTCTGCTCCATTATCTCATAATAATCTTTACATTTGACACAGCGCCTGATCACGTCATCGAGAGATTCCAAAGCGCTTCACAGGATTCACTGTAAACTGTGATGACTGTGTATTTGTAGCTCCAATGGGGAGCGATTACCAGCACAGACATGATGGGGAGAAAGCAAGGAATGGGGTTAGAGAGCTCCAGTGGTGGAGCGAGCACCAGCACAGACCAGATGGCTGAATGACCTAGCATTAGATTGTTACAGTATAGAAGGAAGCCATCATGCAGTGACTATATTTGACAGCAATTACCTGCAAGACTTTGAGACATTTTGACTGGAGTCAATTATAGGAATAATATAATGAGACGGTCAAGGTTGATGTGATGGTAACTTGACTTTAGCATTTGTTATTAGCACAAAAAGCAAATATCGGAGGGGGCAGAGCAAGCAATTTCAGAGGCTGTAACACACTGAGACGTGAGAAAACTCCACAAACTGAAATAAAGTTCCTGTTATTGAAGCATATCCATCCTTGGAAGATGTATGTGCCTTCACACCCTCTGCTCTGTGTTTTATGTAAAACCCTCATCATAACAAGTGCCATTAGGCTGAAAGCAGTGGACTGGGAAAAATTTAATGACCAGAGGACACGACTGGTAAAGAGCAGGTGATGTTCGCAAACATCTCAGCTCCATCTTGGCTGTAAGCTGCACAATAGCAAGGAGAGAGCAAAGGCCTTTTAACCCATCAAGAGCTCTCCTCCACCGACTCATAAACGTTGAGAAACCTCTCACCCCCCATCCCTGACCCACAACCAAGCCCTGACCCACACCCCCAACCAAGCCCTGTCACTGCCACCCCCCATCCCCAGCCCTGCCCCCCCGCTCCTCAGCTGTGACACACTGCTGAAGCCTGAAGGCAGTTTTTACTCTCAAATTGCCACTGTTCAATCCCTTCCAAGCTTTCCCCCAGTCATAGGCATCCCCAGCTCACCAACACGGAATCCTCCTCTCCCTACCTCCCTCCACAGCTATTTCAGTCTTGAAGCTCCCCACCCATCGTGAAGGGTGCAAGTTGTTGTTGTTGCCCCTCCCCTTACCCCTCCCCTTCATCCCTGCCCTGTACCTAGCCCATCGCCTGCTTCTCCCCCTGCCCTTATACCTGTCCCTCCAGTC